TGTCATTCTATAACTGGTATGTTTAAATTGTGTAGTAAAGAGTATAAATAAGTGAGAAAAAAATGTCTTTAATAAAGGTGTGCGCGAACAGTGAGAAGAATTCGGCCAAATCGTGCGCCTCAAATCACCATTTTATTATCATAAACTATCAGTAACGGTTCCGCGAATCTCTGTCGGCATTAGCGACAGACTCGCCATTTGCCCGTTACAATATTCATATTTAATATTAGTAATTATTCAAAAAATTTTGATTTTCATATATTTAATAGTTTAATCATCAAATAATACGACTTATTTAAAAATATTTAAAGTTAACAATTTGTATACATACAATATTAAAACCTATATTTTACACATGAATCATTTTTTGTTTGGTTTCAAAAAATCTGGTAAACGCGAATATTAAAAATTAGGTAGTTTTTCAAACTATTTCTGGGATAATAATTATTAAAATAATTATTAAAATTTTTTATAAAATTTACCGTCGGATTCTAAATATTAAAATATTAAATATTTTATAAATTAGTCTATAAATTTATTACATTTGTTTTTAGAAAAATGATGGGAAAATTAAACAAATAATAATAATAATACAAGTTACTTTTAATATTTTTTTTCTAATTTTAATAGTTTTTTTAAATTTAATAATAATTAATTAATTTTAAAAAATTTAAGGTTCATTTATCATAATGTGCTCAGACACGAAGATACGTATATTTATGCACAAAGTTTAAACTATTCATAAAAAATGAATATTAAATTTTATTATTAATGCAAATATAATATTTTTTTTTTGATTATTTAAAGTTGATTTAACTTTTTTCATCGTAGTCATACATCATAATTAAATTAAAAAATAAAAATAATAATAATAATTCAGTAATTTATTTACTTATGAGATTTTCACAAGGTTTTCCTTCCCAGGCCTCTCCTTCCTTTAAAAAATCCACTTTCTCATCATTAGTTTGGTGTTGCACGACTAGTGACGTGGGAGGATGTACTTTTTCTGTGGCTGAGATGATCAACCAATCCAATATTAACCGGATCGTTAATCTCTATAGGGAGTATGTTGAATCCAGGAAATTTTTGTTATTTGTTTAAAAAATTCATAAAACGAGGCTAATTATATTCTTATTATAGGCTGTAAGTCAAATCAAAGATGTTCTTGTTATTTTATTCGCAATTGAGGATTGATTGTAATGACCGTTAACTTTATAGTGGGTAAGTAGATTCAGGGATATTTTAGATGTTTGGCAAAATTATATAAAATCCATTTAGTTATATTCTTTTTTTTTTTGCTTGTGTAGAAGGTAGGTTAAATCAAAGGATATTTTCGCAATTTGTTTCATAAATATTATGTAATGGAATTTTCATTGCATTTGTATTACAGTATTTACATTTGCTATTGTAGAAAGTAAGTAAATTCGAATAGATTTATTAATGATTATTTTAAATAATATTAAAAAACGTTTGGTTGTATGGACCGTCAAATTTATGGTGAGTGAGCTGAATTCGGATTTTTTTTGTTATTTTTTTTGTGTAAAATTATATTTCATTACATCAATCGTTAATTTTACAGAGAGTAAGCTAAATTTAAGATATCTTCACCGTTTGTTCGTAAGAATTATATGAAATCGGGTTTAATTATATTAATAATCTATTTTTATAGTGTGTAAGTTAAATCTAAGATATTTAGTCATCTTGTTTCTTAAAAAGTATGGAATGAGATTTAAATTCTTATATTTTACTGTTTTAGGTGGTGAGTTCAACCCATTATATCATAAACAAAATTCTTTTTCTTTATTGTTATAGGGGTAAATTGAATCCAGGATATACTGTATTTGCTACTTTCTTATAGAATAATATCGTAAATAATATAAATTAAATTTAATTTCATCATCTACTATAGCTTGTGAATGGAACTCAGAATTTTTATTAAATTTTTGTAGAAATCACTTGAAAAAATATTTAATGTGTTTTTATTACTTACTATTGTAGATGGTAGGCTAAAGCTTTTATAGTTGTTTTAGTTTAAAATTATAAAAGATTTAATTAAATTCTTATTCTTTACTATTTACTGCAGATGGTAAGCTCAATCCAGGATATTCTGTTATTTACAGTATTTCGTAACACCACATAAATGATTTTAATTGCATTGTTATTTTTATTTTTTGAAATTGTAAGTTGAATCCAGCATATTCATTGTTTGTTTCGTCTAATCACATGAAATAAACTTTCATAGTCAACTTTGTAGGGAGTGCGTTAAATTCAGAAAGTTTTTGTTGTTTGTTCAGTAAATTCACATGACTCGATTTTTAATAGTACAGAATTTTTGTTTTTACTATTAGTGAATGTAACTTTAATCCAAAATATTTCGTTATTTGTTTCGTAAATCATGAAATGAGTTTTAATTATATCATTCGTCAACTTTATAGACTGTAAATTATATCCAGAATGTTAAAATCGTATTAAACGATATCTAATCTATTTTCATTATTTATATTGTAGACGGTAAGTTGTATCAGGATATTTTCATTGTTTGTTTCGTAAAAATTTCATGCACTCATTTCGTTTTTTTTTTTACTATTGTAGATTGTAAGCTGAATTCAGGAAATTTTTGTGGATTTGCAACAGTTACATGAAACGAAATTTAAGTGTATTCTTATTTTTATCTATCGGAGATCGTATGTTAAATCCAGTATTATTATTATTATTTCTTCGTGAAAATAATAAATGATATTTAATATATCGATCATTTTTGCAGTTAGTAAGTTGAATAAGGATATTTTATTATATAAAAGGAAATTATTATATTCTAATTCTTGGATATGTAGATTGTAGGTTGATTTCTATATTCTAGTTGTTTTTTGTAAAATCAGCTGAAAGAGATTTTAATTTTATTCTTTATTGTCGTAGTCGGTATGTTGTATTCATTATTTGATTACCAATGAAATTTATTTTTGTTAATCAACTTTTATAGTAAGTTGATTTCAGGATAAATTTTTACTTTTTTCACGAAATAATATGAAATTAAGTTAAATCACTATCATATTTATTATTGTAGATGGTAAGTTGAATCTAAGATATTTGATATTTTTTTTGCAAAATCATGAAGCGTGATGTTTAGTCATATCATATCCTTACTATTGTAGAATGTAAGTCGAACTCGGGAAATTTTTGTTATTTGTTTTCATAAGATTATATTAAATAGAATTGATTGTATTTCGCCAACTTTTATAGCTTGTAAGTGGAATTCAGAATATTCTTGCTATTGAACTCATAATTGGTTATTACGGTATAACATTTGCATGCAACGCGATATCACGCTATATAACCCCGTTGTTATAAATTATAGAGAAATTAAGGGGGAAAATTAGTATAAGAAAGTTTAGAAGTGGGAATTTCTAGAATAGCGTAGAATAGTTTACCGATTTAACATATATGCAGTAGGTGCATGTGTAAATACATGCGCAATTTAGTAGCATGTAAAGTGGCAGAATTTTAAATTAAAAATTAGCATTTTTAAGTAATAAACAACAAATTAACATTTAAAAATAAACTTTTATCTTGTTTTCAAGTGTGCCCTAAATACTTGTAAAAGAACTGAAGTTTGCCTAAGGGAATTGGTATAAAAAGAGTTCTAGATTAATCAATGGAGAAATTAAAATAAGACAAGCCAAATTAAAGGCACACTTCAACAGTCAAAAGAGAAACCTACTTTATTGTAAACCAAACATAACAAGAAGCATCTTGTGTTAACAACCGACTCACCAATTAGTCATAATTTACTAAAAATTATAATACATCTGTATATCTATATGTTAATAACAATACTATAACTTATAACTATAGCAAAACAATAGTGTCGTGGGTAAAAAAGCGGTGCATTAATGTGACCCGTCGTCGTGTCGCATAGTGTGTGTTATGGGATCATCGATGGAAAAATCTAGAAGTGAGAAATTCTAAAATAAGTAGAAATAGTCGATATGGTAAGCATGTAAACAATATGCGCGTGTATAAATACATGTCCCGTTTGATAGAATGTAAAGTAGTTTAATTTTGAGATTAGAATTTAAGTAATAAACAATAAAAGTACAGTTTAAAGAGAACTCTTACCTTGTGTTTTGTGCGCCACAGTAGACTTGTAACTTAGACTACGCGACTACAAGAGAGAACGACCAAATCAGAAACACATCTCAAGAGTTAGAAACTTAACTTATTGTTAACCGTAATGAAGCAAGAAGCACGATGGGTTTGCCAGATAGCCCACGACAATAGATAGTCAAGAACATTCGAGTAACATTCTTAAAAAATTTATATTTAATCAATGTCTAGCTTATTTCTCTCAAAAAAGTTAAACTCAAAAAATATTCACCTCAACCTTCTCTATCATTAGGATATAAATAGACATAAGTATTACATCAGAATAAATATTGTGCTTAGAACCTTTGGATTAATAATATACATACAGTATACCGGATGTAAATTTGCGCGGTAAATACAGGGACGATCAAATAAAATTTTGGAATTTTGGCTTTTTTATGTTACACCAAACTTCGGATGATCAAATCTTCGGATGGAGAGTATCGTAGGTGGAGAAATATTTTTGTCTACAAGAAATCACTCCACGAATATTAATAATCTTTGTTTCCGTGAAACATAATCTAATACATTTAACCGAAAAATTCTTTGCATTCCTTTAATGGCATGCATGTATGTACTGAATGGCTCCGAAAGATGCTTGAATCAATAACTATAAATACTGCTATGTTTTTCTTAATTGTAACAAAAAATCAAACAAAAAAATTTTTTGTCATGAAAGATAAAAAAATTCTTATAGTGGGTCAATCTGGTGTAGGGAAATCGACTATTATTAACACCCTGGTCAATTATTTTCGTGATGGTAGTCTTGATAACATAAAAGTTGCCATCCCGACAGAGCATTATAAAGATGTTACTGAAAAAGGTATTTTTATTTCTTTTAAATTAAAATATTTCGTACGTATTCAAATTCAAGCTTTTAATATTTTATTAGACCTTTCTCATGACCATTCCGAAGAAAAAGCGTCTAAACAGTCTGTTAGTCAGACAACTGAATGTTTTGACTATAAATTATACTCAAGTGCAAATGGATGCAACTATATATTTATAGATACGCCAGGCTTGGGTGATACACGAGGCAGAGACCAAGATAATAAAAATATCGAAAAAATAATTGACCGCGCGTCTTCCCATGATTATTTAGATACTGTTCTATTTATAGTTAACGGAGTGGAACCAAGGTTTCCTGAAACAGTTGCTAGCGCATTTAAACGATTAGCCAGTTATTTACCGGATAATATTATGAAAGAAAATGTAATACTTATTCTATCCAAATCGTCAGAATTATCAGCCCATTTTCCAGTAGATGAATTCAAGTTAAGGGTAGCAATACCAAAGGTATATATATATAGTATGTCTTTAAGATTTTTTAGATGTATTACTACATTAAACTTTTCACATTTCACAACAGGAAGTGTTATATATGGATAATACCTTTTTCTGCAAGAGTCCTGACGATTGGCACCAAAATATCAAGATGGAACGTCAAATAAAGAATGATTGGGAGGATTCAATGGAGACAATTGAAAAAATTTTAAAAATGACTAGCGAAATGAATTACAAATCAACTGAAGATTTCAAAAAAATAGAAAATACTCGTGACAAAATTGGTTCTGAAATAAGCGAAAATATGATAATAATTAGTACCTACTATAACTTGAGAAGTAAACTTATCGAACAAAAAAAATCCGTGAATTATGAAATAGAGATAACATACACTGAGACTACGAAAACTCCCTATAGAAACATTATTTGTGATGGTTGTAAGAAAACTTGTTATGAAAAAACAGTGTTTGTGTTCGCCAATGTCATACCTGGGACGGATTGTGACAAATGTGGATGTGGTTATTCCAGGTTAGTGTCTATTAGATTTGTAAATAAATTAATACTGTATAGCCATTATTTTAACCTTGCTTCAAATGTAGACACCATAAACATTATTATACTGTCCAAAAATGCAAAAAAAACGTTGAAAACGTATTAAAAAATATTACAGAAAAAAGACGTATAGATGAGAAAATAAGTGATCTAGACAAAATCAGAGATCTTACTGAAGAAACATTTAATTGTATTAGAAAAAATTCTCTCGATTTAAAACGTATATGTGGCAAATTTGATTTTATTGGTGAGTTATCAAATAGTATAGAAGAAATGAAGAAGATTCCAAGTGAGATTTCGGACAGTGATTTAAGGAAAAATGCTAGATTAAAAATTGATGACTTGATTGAATTTTTTGAACAGTTAAGTCCTCCTCCTGAGAATTCTAATAATAGTGGAGGACTTCGGGAAATGCCCGAGAAGTTACGTAAAAATTATAATATAATTGGTTTCTGACATTATCAGTTTCTGTTTCCCTAGTTAATAAGATATATTTAAAGTATGATAACGTATTATTATTATTATTATTATTTATCTTTTGTTTAAATAAATTATAAATTATCAATTGTCATTGTAAGTTATAATAAAACATTTTAATAGTTTTTATATACATGAAAGATATCAAGAATCGTGTCTTGTTTAGGAAGATCCAGACAAGCTTCCCATGGTTCAAACTACTGAGCTATTATATGGATATGTTTATTCGCCCTAAACTTACTTATATATATTATTTAACTTAAACAAGAATAATTTGGTTTATATTGATAAGACGCATTGCCTTAGCTTTTACATGGAGTATGAAACAGAACGGAGCCATTTGATGGTTGCGCGTGTATTCTAGCGAAGAGCATTTTATTTTTTCTACAAAATACTATCTATAGCTATGTCTATTTTAAGTATGAAATATTACGATTTACAGTATCCGCTCGTTTCAATCTTTCCATTTAGATTACATAAACACTTCAAATTTAGTCAAACGATAATCAAAGATCATATAATGGAAATTTGGTTACGAATTTATTTGTATCCAATTTGGGATACTGCAATGGTGACCGGCGAATCTGTCGCTAATGATAGCTAAGATTCGCGTAACGATTGGTGATTGTTTTTGTTAAGTGACAGTGGCCGAAAAACCATTTATCTTTATTAAAATTTTCTCTCTCTTCTTTATAATATAAATTATAAATACAGTACAGATTAAACTAATGCTACTGAAATCTTATAACGAAGTGATTGTTATTGAATTTCACATTTAGTTTTACAGGTCAACTCTCGTTAATTGTTCCATGTCACAATTCACTAAAATTAGTCTTATTAATTGATGATTGTAGGCATCAAAAATGATACTTTAATATAACATAATCGGTATTAAATTAGATAATAACTTCAAAAAAAAAGTAGAAGTTTCTTTACATTCTTTATGTTTTTTTAATTGTTTTTTAAATTCTTCTATAAAACAATATAAAGATATTGATGTTTATTTTATAAAAAGAAAAAATGAATATAGTAGTAGCTTGAAGTATCATAATAAAAAAAAATATAGACGTCAGTTAAATTGAATACTTTATTATAATCACTTGCATTTTACAATATACTGAATATTTATTTGACAAATATTAATAAATATGCTTATCCAATATTGTTTTCTTAATGTCAAGTGAGCCATTTTTCATGATCTTTATTAATTGGATAAGAATTTGTCAGATAAGTAACATTTATAATTTGAGATACATTGCTATATATATTAGTCTACCACCATATAAATATATTTTGAAAACTTCCTTTTTTAAAAAAATATTTATTCTTGGAGAGTCAATATCTTCTTAATAATTTGTTCTATTATGTAAAAGTATTTATAGATTTTCAAAAAATGGTTTGACAATAATATTCAAAGTATTGTTTATATTTAAGTTTAAAAATTTGGTTAACAAAATAGTTTTTTTCTAAGCTTATTATTATTAGTGCGAGGTGTTTGATTATTTTTTCTAAGTTTGTTTGAATAAAAAACATTGTAGATTTCTTTTTTTCAATTGTATCTTTGTTTCTTGAGATCCAAAATTTCATGATAAATTAAATTGAGAAGATTATTTTGAAGATCATTTAAGGTTTTTAGATTTTATATAAAAGGTTTAAAAATTTTGAAGCCAGAATAGTATTAAGAAGACAAAGAGAAAACTTATACAGAATATTTTCATTATTTATATAATTGTTCACAAATTAAAAGAAAATTGAATTAGCTATATACTATTTTTAGTAAGTCTTCACAAGCAAATTTTTGTTATTTATATATTTAGCAAAAAATTTAAAAAAGAAGTGAGTTAACCATCGATTATTAATTTTATAGACTTGTATTTGCTGAGCAAATTGGAAAGAAAAGTGGATGTATATGTGGTGAAAGGCGAATAGATTGTTGAAATAATTTGAATTCAAATTTTTATTGTTTTTGAAATTAATATATCTTGTACTATTGCATTGTTAATAATTTGTACTATTACTGGGTTACATGTTTTGCATAATTAAATACAATATATTTTTATTGATATTATATTGCAATATAAGTAAAAATTGTTAATTTCCTGTTTGCAAATCTTGGAATATAATATATGTGACCTTTGCATTGTATAAGGATATTCTTAATATTATATGCTGTTGTGTTAAGAAAAAGTTTATTATTTTTGCTGCTACTTCATGTTTCTGTTTCATTTATTGAAGTATTTATTTTGTGTCATTAATTCTCACTAAGTTTTCTTTATAAAAATACTTCTAGTATTAATGTTTTTTTTTGCATTCTAGATCTTTGAAAGTAATTATGATGCATTGCTATAAGTTATGAATTCTCAAAATAATTTCTTGAATTTGACTATGTTTGAAAAATACCTATTTAACTTTTATTAGTTTTATGTTTAAAGAAATGTTTTATACCACCATAGAATTTTTATTATTGATTTCTTGATGTCCAGTTTCTATAAATGTAAGCTTGTTGTTGTTCATTTTTAAAAGTATTGTAATTATAATATGTTTTTTTATATGAATATTTGAAAAAATAATGATAGTATACATATTTTTTTTTCTTACTGTATACAGTAAGTAATCTTTTAGATGAATTAAGAACAAGAATAATATGTTTCAATTTTGATATGTTGTTTTTCTTTAACAAGATTTTCTAAAATATTAATCTTGAAACATTATTAACTATATTTAATTGTTCTATCAAAAAGTGATCTTGATTTTGGTTTGCTTTGATAGTATCATATATCAATTCAATATCATAGATTAGCATAGGACATAGAACTGATAGCAGGAAGACACTTTATTTAGAACATAATCCTAATGTGATATTCTATAGTTCATAAAACAAACATATTTAAGGTTTCAAAGATCATAAGGCAAAAGATGTAACAATTATAATTGTATAAAGACAAATATAATTTAAGTGATTTGTTAAGAAATTGAAATATGTCTTTATTATCAAAACATTATTACACTTCTAATTCTACCAATTTCACCTTCAATTCTCCTACAAGTTTTCTCTTTTTTTTTTACAACTTTCTTGCAATTTCTCTATCATATCTTCTTTGTATACAAAATACATTATTTTTTTATTTATATGAAAATAAATAAAAAATATAATTGGTATACTAAATTATTAAGAGTCACAAATAATTTTTTTTTTTTTCAACGACTGGCGTACATCTTGTTTTATTAGGTTATTTAAATGCAGTATGTACAAATTCGTATTTAC